TTCCAAATCAGAGTATTTTTAATGGATTCCAATGTTACTTTCTTTGTTAGTACAACATAATAATGTAATTTGTTTCTCTCTTTTGGTTTTCTGGGCAGTTTTAATATATATATATATTCAGTAAATCATTGATCAATCAGAAACTAAATATTTTATTTTTCTCAACTTTTATTTTAAGCTTGAGGGTTTGCTACATGGGTAAATTACGTGTTGCTAAGATGTGGTGTATGGATGATTCCACATCCAAGTAGTGAGCAAAAATGAATATTTTCTGTGCAAATATTTGATGAATTATGTCTCTCAGTTGGATGATATCTGAAGAATAAGACTGTAAATATAAGTGTGAAAGGCATTCAATTTTTTTTAATTAATTTATTTATTTTTTTTTCCAATTTATTATATTGCATTTTAGGTTTTGGGGTACATGTGAAGAACATGCAAAATTGTTGCATAGGAACACACGTGGCAGTGTGATTTGCTGCCTTCCTCCCCATCACCTACATCTGGCATTTCTCCCCTTGCTATCTCTCCCCAGCTTCCCACCTCCCACCGTCCCTCCCCTATGTCCCCCCAACTGACCCCAGTGTGTAGTGCTCCCCTCCTTGTGTCCATGTGTTCTCATTGTTCAACACCCGCCTATGTGAAAACATGTGGTGTTTGATCTTCTGCTCTTCTGTCAGTTTGCTGAGAATGATGGTTTCCAGGCACTCAATTTTTAAAGATGAAATGGAAAGTTCGTTTAGTTTCTCATTGAAAGACATACATTGAACCTACTAGGATTCTTTTCAAAAAAATGCTAACATCTGGCCGGGCGCGGTGGCTCAAGCCTGTAATCCCAGCACTTTGGGAGGCCGAGGCAGGTGGATCATGAGGTCAAGAGATCAAGACCATCCTGGTCAACACGGTGAAACCCCGTCTCTACTAAAAATACAAAAAAAAATTATCTGGGCATGGTGGCACGTGCCTGTAATCCCAGCTACTCAGGAGGCTGAGGCGGAGAATTGCCTGAACCCAGGAGGCGGAGGTTGCGGTGAGCTGAGATCACGCCATTGCACTCCAGCCTGGGTAACAAGAGCGAAACTCCAACCCCCCGCCAAAAAAAATGCTAACATCTGTAAACTGGAAGAGAAACTTGTGACCCACTCTAAACTAGAAAAATTAAGCTAAACTTTATTTATTTATTCCTGATGTGTTGGTTCATTTCTATTTTCTCTATGTTAGGCTCTATGGATAAATATATGTATATGTGTGTGTGTGTGTGTGTATATATATATATATATATACACACACACACACACACACATATATATATACACACATATATATATATTATATTCCAACTTTCTTAGTCTTAGTCTCTACATCCCAAAATCATTAAATAGTCAAAGCCTCTGTATCCAAATGTTGGAACATTTAGAAGATTTGAAAGTACAGATGAGGCAGGGGATCTAGGGAGCTGCCTCTCTGCCTTACACATTCTAATCACCACAAATTTCCAAGGACTCTTGAATTTTGCCAAGGATGGCCTGTGTGGACCTTAATACATAAATACATACACACACACACACACACACACACACACATTTATATATACATATATATACACACACACATATTTATATATACATATATATATACACACACACATATATATATAAAGAAAATAGAGTTTCTTCCCCTAAGGAATCAATAATAAATACAGCAAAAGAGGTAATACATCAATTAAAACAGTGTTAACAAATGCCGCAGAAGGCTAGCGTGTTCCATAGAGTAAGGAAAGGTAGGTCACAGCTGATTGATATGATCAGTGAATGACTCATGGAGAAGGTAGCATTTTAACATTTAGGGTCTTAAAATGAGCTTGTTTTAAAAGTTATTACGACATGAGTCACAGGGAACATTTTATATGTGCTAATTGGATAGAACCAGCTATTCGGCGGGTCATTTTCAATATTTCTATGTGTTGCTACTAATGTTAGGGAAAGCTTATTTGAGCAGCAGAGTGAAGACTACACTCCACATTTTCTACTTTAATATAATTTTCTTGCCATTATGTTATACTACCTTTCAACTAGTAAAGTATGGGTTATATTACTGTTTATGTTTTTCCACTTGCCAAATTTTGGATTCCATAGAAAAATCACCTTAGCAAAAATAAACCTCCCATCTCCCACTCAGGAAAAAAAAAAAAAACAGATGAAGCAAAGTTGGCGGTGGATTCACTTTCAAACTATTACTGAACAACATTCAAAAATTCTAATAATTAACATTTCTGAACACTCACTTTAAGTAAGGATCTCCATTAAGCACCTTCTAAATGCATCACTTCATTTAATCATCACAACCACCCGAAGAGACAGACAGACAGACAGACAGACCGACATTTATTTGTTTATTTATTTATTAACTGAGTTCTTGCTGTGTCAGGCAGGGCTGGAGCACAATGGTAAGATCTCGGCTCACTGCAACCTCTGCCTCCTGGATTCCAGCAATTCTCCTGCTTCAGCCTGTCGAGTGGCTGAGATTACAGGTGCCCTTCACCATGCCCTGCTAATTTTTGTATTTTTAGTAGTAGAGACGCAGCAGGGGTGGGGGGACCGGCGGCACAGGGGGCCATGTTGGCCAGGTTGGTCTTTAACTCCTAAACTCAGGTGATCCACCCACCTCGGCTTCTCAAAGTGCTGGAATTACAGGCGTAAGCCACTGCGCCCGGCTAAGGCAGGCTTTATTATTAATCTCTTATACAGATAAAGACGCTTAGAAGTGTATAATTAAGAACTTACCCACTATCACGCACGGAAAAAGAGAAGAGTTGTGGTCTGAATCCACACAAAAGCCCATGCCCTTAATCACTAAGCTAGCAAGGTAGAACTCCGTAAATGGGAAACCATATCTATTAACTGGCTCTGGCATTTTAAAAGCCAATTTTATAAGTTACAAGAATAGATATGGATTATTATTTATTCAGTGGCGTTGGCTCACAATTCAAAACGCCCAGTGAACCCAATGTGATTTATTCTTTGGATAGGGGAAACAATTATTGATCCAGTGTTGATTCATGTTCTAGAAACCATATGAAAATACCTAAGCAGCAGCAGATGCTGAGGGGAGCTGGGATCAAGTTGGTAAGAACTGCTGGTGGTGGGAGCACCAGCATAGGGCACAGGGCGGGTCCAGAGAAAGTCGGGCCCATTGTTAGGGATCCGGCTTCCGGAGGAGGGGACAGAATTCAGGGGCGAACTAGGCCCCCGAGGAGATAGAGAAGCAAGGGAGACTGTGGGGAACTGAGGGCAACAGCAGGTACGCTCCAAACTCTTTATTGCCGTTTCTAAATTCCCGCTTTCTCCATAGAGATGCTTTTCTTTATATTTCCTTACAGTGCTCTGGATCCATATAGGTTTTTGTCTCAGACACTTCTCTCACATCCGCGGGTCCTCGGCCCCCATCCTTTATTTTTGCTAGGCCTCGAGGGACACTAGAAAGCGTTTGAAACTCCCGCTTTCTCCGTAGAGATGCTTTTCTTCATATCTCATTACAGTGCTCTGGGTCCATACAAGTTTTTGTCTCAGGCACTTCTCTCACATCCGCCGGTCCTCAGCCCCCTTCATTTATTTCTGCTAGGTTCCTAAGGACACTAGGATGCCGGGGAGGGAGCCAGGGGACCCAGGCTTCGGGACTGAGAGGGGAAGTGAGGAGGGGAGAAGAGGAAGTGACCGGAGCATGGGGCAGGCCAGCGGCGAAGGACCAACTGTAGGTGTCGGGCAGAGGACGAGCCCCAGGACTCAAGACAGCAGACAGGAGGCCACGAAAGGAAACAGGACTGTCACTCTCCTGTGGGGATGGTTGAAGCCAGCAGGCAAAAGGACAGAGAAGGAAATGGGACTGTCATTTGCCTATGGGGACTGTTGAAGCTGAGCCTGGAAAGTCACAAATCAGTCTCTGCTGCTTACGAAGGAATTTGACAAGGACTGAATTACCAGCTTATCACCTAATTTCACCAGGCAAGACCATATTCACTGAAAGGATCTTGACTGAGAAATCAGAAGATCAGACAATGAAGATATATAGAAATGAATTTCCTGGCTCTGCCAGTATGACAAAAGGGATATTATGTAATGATAGCAAGTAGAATATTAGTGATGGTTTTATAAGGAAATAACAGGATCTTATTTGGGGGAAGGAGTTGAGAGAAAATTAAGCTCAAATATAAATGCATTTATTTCAAGAGCCAGATTCTGAGACACAACCCTAGTAAAACCTTGTTTGTTTAAAAGGTTAGGTATCAAAAAAAAAAAAAAAAGTTGGAGGTGGAGAGATTTTGCATTAACTACTTCAGAGTACCATATAGCACTGTTAAAGAATAATACAACTATCAAATAGCAATTATTTTTAATTTTACTCCAAAAGGAATTTAGCTGTATTATGAGAGGATATTAAAAATATTTTTCTGCTGTAAGGATCAAGTTTTAACTATTTAAGAGATTTTATATATAGTTGTACTTACATATGTCATACATAAGATAATCGTTGCTAATGCAAAATAATATTTCAAAAGAAGATAATTAGATATCATGTTGAAGTAACATATTGTCAAGCAATGTCTGTTTTAGCTAACTTCTTTTTAAACATTAGTATGCCTCCGAATTGCTTTGAGTAGCTATGTGAGGAATTTTACCTAACATTTTACTTTGGACTAGTTAACACTTTCTCAGATGGAGTTTCGCTCTTGTTGCCCAGGCTGAAGTGCAATGACACAATCTCAGCTCACCACAACCTCTGACTCCGGATTCAAGCGATTCTCCTGCCTCAGCCTCCCAAGTAGCTGGGATTACAGGGCATGTGCCACCATACCTGGCTAATTTTGTATTTTTTTAGTAGAGACAGGGTTTCTCCATGTTGGTCAGACTGGTCTCAAACTCCTGACCTCAGGTGATCTGCTGGCCTCAGCCTCCCAAAGTGCTAAAATTATAGGCATGAGCCTGACCACTGTTAATATTGGTTATAACAAAAATTCTCTGAGGGCAATAGAGCCCAAGTAGATTCCCTATGAGTAGAATACAGAAACGTTAGTGTTTGAGCTATGACCACATCTATGGTGCTTTAGATTGATTTATTTAACACTATCTACTGTTTATTACTTTCAGGCATGGACCAAAGCAGTGAAGCATGTGTGAAAAAGATTAGCAGTGTGAATCTTGACAAACTTATAAATGACTTCTCACAGATAGAAAAGGTATGTAAAGATAGAAAACAATTGCAATATATAGGGGAACATGGAACAAATTTTACCAAGGGAAGAAGTTGGGAAAAAAGAAAAATATACCAAAAAATGATCAAGGTAATAATATATTTTGCTACGCTCTTCTCTTTCATTTTAAAAATCCATGTTTCAAATACATCTGGCTTTGACTTATTTGTACTAATACATCAAAATGTCCCTAGGACAGGGAATAAATAATTTATGTACTTTTCCTGAAGTTAAGCAGAAACTACATATAGTAGTCCCCCTTATCTGAGGTTTTGCTTTCTATGGTTTCACCTACCTGAGGTCAACAGTGGTCCAAAAATATTAAATGGGAAAGTCCCAAAATAAACAATTCGTAAATTTTAAATTCTGCGCTATTCTGAGTAGCATAAGGAAATCTTTCATTGTCTTTCTCAGTCCCGCCCAGGACATGATTTATCCTTTTGACCAGTGTATCCATGTTGTATAGGCCAATTGTCTGTTAGTCACTTGGTAGCCATATCAGTTATCAGAAGAGTGAGTACAGTACAATAAGATAATTTCAGAGAGAGAGAGAGAGACCACGTTCATGTAACTTTTATTACAGTATATTATGGTTGTTCTATTTTATTATTAGTTATTATTGTTCATCTCTCACTGTGCCTAATTTATAAATTTATCATAGTTAAATTTGTAGAGGTAAAATCATTATAGAGTTCAGTACTATCTGAGGTTTTAGGCATCCACTGGAGGTCATCAAACATATCTCTCCAAGGATAAAGGGGGATTGCTGTACTTGAAAACCTAGGTTGTCCATAAACTCATGAATGGTTTCAGGAAACATTGAAGTAGATGCATATTTTAATCTGTTATTATAGCTACTCATTTTTTAGTATTTCCTATTCTATCTGTTCCCTTTTCCTTCTCTTTTGCCGAAAAGCAAAGCCATTTAAAGTCTCTCTCTCTGAATCTGGACCAATTGTAGACCAAACATACAAGTGTATATTGAGGTTTTCCTCCCTCCTCTGCCTTCAATAGCTGTTGAAAAATGTAGGTGGTTAAATGAAAGAATTGGGGAGTGACTTTGCTAAACAAGAGTGGGAAGGAGAGTACTACTTATCTCTATTTTCACTGTTCTGATAATTATTTCCTATTTCTTCTTTACCTCAGCACACACACACACAAATGTCATAATGAAATAATTTTTATGATCGTAGGTATTTTAAGGTAACATTATGAGCATTTTTTAAACAATAAAGTTAAGTGTTCTTAACCAAGTGATTTTTAACATAATAGGAGAGAGAAGAGAAAGGAGTAAGAAGCATTTTTGCTGAGAGAGGAATTAGTGCAATGATTTTGGAAATTAATTTGGAAATATCTGTTATATTCTTAAACATTTTAAATAAGAAATAAATGTTAATTTTTGAGGTAATGATGGTATTGTGGCCATATTTTGAAAGAGTCATCTCTTGGAGATACATATGAATGGAAATATTAACAGGTGAAATAACATAAGGTCAGAGAGTTGCTTTGAGATCAATTCAAAAGTGATTAGACTAGGGTAGTGGGTAGAGATATAGATTACACAAGACTGTTCATGAATTGATTTTGAAGCTGTTTGAAAAGTATATGGAGCCTTATTATACTATTCACAAAGATATTGAAGAGATATGGTTAAGAATGTTTATTCATTACAAAAATTAGAATATGGCCTCTCTTTTTCTGTCTCTGTCTCAATAAGAGACTGGTTAAATAAATTACAGCATATTCAAAAATGAAACTCAATGTAGCTGTTAAAAAGAATGAGGTAGATCTATGTGTGCTTACATGACATCATCTTCCAGATAATAGTACTAAGTGAAACAGCCAAGGTGCAGAACAGAATATCATATGATTTTTTTCTGTATCTGTACAGTCATGAAATAGTCTTGAAACATATATAAGGAATTGTTAACCATGGGACTGAGAGTTGAATAGTTAGAAAGAAAGTAGTTCAAGTTAGGTCATATTTTTACTTTTAATTTATAACTAATAGTCTGTTTTAATATTTTACCATGTTACTTTTTAATTTGAAAATAAATTGGGAAATGGGCTTATTTTAAATACAGTCATATATTGCTCAATGACAAGGATATGTTCTGAGAAATGCATTATTAGGTAATTTTGTCATTGTGCGAACATTATAGAGTATATTTACATAAACCTAAATGGTGTAGCCTACTACACACTTAGGCTTTATGGTATAGCCTATTGCTCCTAGGCTACAAACCTATACAGCATGTTACTGTAGTGAATATTGGAAGCAATTATAATGCTAAGTATTTATATACCTAAACATAGAAAAAGTACAGTAAATATATGGTATAAAAGTTAAAATTGGTACACCTGTATAGGGCAGCTCCATTATAATCTTGTGGCACCACTATTATATATGCAGTCTGTTCTTGATCAAAATATCATTATGCAGTACGTGACTATATATGTATTTTGTTATTAGACTTTCAGATATTAAGTGGTTTGTATTTTCATTAGTCTTCATTACTTAATAAAAAATTAAATTAGCAGCATTGATTTGTTAACAATATGTAATCTATTTCTTCTACAGAAAATTATAGAAACCAATGGAAAGAACAATATACTGGATATTCAGTTGGAAAAGACTAATTGTTTATTAAAAGTAATGCAAGCAAAGGAAGTCTCAATTAAAGAAGGTTAGTTATTTGCTGCCTGAGGAATGCTAATTCTAATAAAAGTGTTTTTCAGTACAACAGTGATTAATAATTACATCATATGTTTGTAAAGTGTTTTAAGTCCACATAGAACTTTCCAGACTATCATCTCATTTTTATCCTTATTATAGCTCTGAAAGACATGTAAGACTGGTATTATTACGCTACCTCACTAGTGAGGAAACACAGAATGACAGAAGTTAAATAATCTTTCTGACGCCACTCAACTAAGAAATGGCCAACTGAAGTCTCAATACAGGCTATAAAAATAGTGGGAAAAAATTAAATTTGAATTTCTACCTTAAAATTACATCAAAATAAATGTCACATGTGTCAAAAATTGGTGTTAAAAATAAAGCTGTACACATATATTGATCGCCTCTGTCAACTGAGAGGGCCTAGAGACAGTAATGCTCCATTAACATTGAGCATACCTGGTTCCCAGATGTTGGTTCCTTAGACCATTCTCTAATAAAAGGAACCAAGGATTTTTTGAGACATGGATGATTATAAGACTGAGACGGAAATATATATGATAAGCCTCAAGCATTTGTAAGGCCAGAAAGTAAGAAAGTTCTCAAAAAACAAACAAAAAAAATACCCCACATTGATGGGAGTATGTTAAAAGGGAGACAAAAGCCACCTGAAAGAGCAGTCGACAGCCAAAGCTGGAACAACGTCAGATAGCCCAAAGTATAAAATAAACATCTATGAATCCTTACCTGTATAAATAAATGATTTAATGAGTAAACGACTGGGGAAGAAGAGACAAATTTTCTTTGGAGAAGAATTACAAATGACTTTTACAGATATTTTGCCCTCAAGGAAGAAAAGCATGGCTCCACACTTATTAAGTGTGGGCTCAGTATAGTCACTTTTTGGAGCAGTTTTAGGTTTACAGAAAAAAATGGAAAGTGCAGAGAGTTTCCATATACTCTCTCACCCCACCACTTCCCTATTATTAATATCTTGCATTAATATGGTACATTTGTTAGAGTTCATGTGCCAATGAATACACTATCATTAACTAAATTTCATAATTTACATTAGTGTTCAGTCTTTGTGTTGTATATTCTATGAGTTTTGACAAATGTATAATGAAACGTATCCACCATTAAAGTATCATACCAAATAATGGTTTCGCTGCCCTGGAAAATCCCCAGTGCTCCCTTATTCACCCCTCCCTCCCTTTCTCCCCCTGAGCCCCTATCACCCACTTGTCTTTTTACTGTCTCTATAGTTTTGCCTTTTCTAGAATGTCATATAGTTGGAATCATACAATATGTAGTCTTTTCAGATTGAGTGTTCCCTTAGCAATACACATTTAGGGTTTCTCCATGTCTTTTTATAGCTTACTATCACAATTTTTAAAATTTTATTGTTGCATGATGAATATACCACACTTTGCTTAACCATTCACTTATTAAGGAACATCTTGTTTGTATCTGAATTTTGGCAGTTATAAGTAAAGCTGCTATAAACATCCATGTACAGGTTTTTAGGTGGACATAAGTTTCAAATTAGTTGGGTAAAAATTTCAAGGAGCACAATTGTTGGATCATATAGTAAAGAGTATGCTTAGCTTTGTAAGAAAATGTCAAACTATCTTCCAAAGTGGTTGTATCATTTTGTATTTCCACTAGCAGTGGATGAGAGGACTTCTTGCTCCACATCCTGGCCAGCATTTGGTTTTGTCAATGTCTTGGATTTTGGCCATTCTAATTGGTGTGTTGCAGTATCTTATTGTTTTAATTTGCATCTTATTGTTTTAATTTGCAATTCCCTAATGACAAATGATGTTGAACATCTTGTAGTATGCTTATTTGCCAGCTGCATATATTCTTTGGTAAAATGTTGATTCAGATATTAATTGGGTTGTTTGTATTCTTAAGGTTGACTTTTGAGTTCTTGTTTTTGGATACCAGTCCATTATCTGATATGTTTTGCAAAGAGTTACTCCCAGTCTATGGCTTGTCTTTTCATTCTCTTAAGTATATTTTACTTTTTATTATTATTATTATTTATTTTTTTTTTAGTGTAACAAGGGTTTTTTTCTTTTTTTAATTGTACTTTAGGTTCTGGGGTACATGGGCAGATCATGCACGATTATTGCATAGCTACATACATGGCAAGGTGGTTTGCTGCCTCCATCCCCCCATCACATATATCTGGCATTTCTTCCCATGTTATCCCTCCCTAACCTCCCCACCACCCCCATTATCCCTCCATTAGCCCACCCCAACAGACCCCAGTGTGTGATGATATTCCCCTCCCTGTGCTTATGTGTTCTCATTGTTCAACACCCGCCTGTGAGCAAGAACATGTGGTATTTGGTTTTCTGTTCTTGTGTCAGTTTGCTGAGAATTATGGTTTCCAGATTCATCCATGTCCCTACAAAGGACACAAACTCATTGTTTGTTATGGCTGCATAGTATTCCATGGTGTATATGTGCCACATTTTCTTTTTCCAGTCTATCATTGATAGGCATTTGGGTTGGTTCCAGGTCTTTGCTATTGTAAACAGTGCCACAATCAACATACATGTGCATGTGTCTATAGAACGATTTATAATCCTTTGGGTATATACCCAGTAATGGTATTGCTGGGTCAAATGGAATTTCTATTTCTAGATCCTTGAGGAATTGCCACACCGTCTTCCACAATGGTTGAACTAATTTACACTCCCACGATCAGTGTAAAAGCATTCCTTTTTCTCCACATCCTCTCCAGCATCTGTTGTCTCCAGATTTGTTAATGATCGCTATTCTAACTGGTGTGAGATGGTATCTCAATGTAGTTTTGATTTGCATTTCTCTGATGACCAGTGATGATGAACATTTTTTCATATGTTTGTTGGCCTCGTAAATGTCTTATTTTGAAAAGTGTCTGTTCATAGCCTTTGCCCACTTTTGAATGGGTTTGTTTGTTTTTTTTCTTGTAGACCTGCTTTAGTTCTTTGTAGATTCTGGATATTAGGCCTTTGTAAGTTGGGTAGATTGCAAAAATTTTTTCCCATTCTGTTGGTTGCCGATTCACTCTAATTATTGTTTCTTTTGCTGTGCAGAAACTGTTAAGTTTAATTAAATCCAATTTGTCTGCTTTGGCTTTTGTCACCATTGCTTTGGTGTTTTAGTCATGAAGTCCTTGCCTATGCCCATGTCCTGAATGGTTTTGCCTAGGTTTTCTTCTAGGGTTTTTATGATGTTAGATTTTATGTTTAGATCTTTAATCCATCTGGAGTTAATTTTAGTGTAAGATGTAAGGAAGGGATCCAGTTTAAGCTTTCTGCATATGGCTAGCCAGTTTTCCCAACACTGTTTATTAAACAGGGAATCCTTTCCCCATTGCTTGTTTTTGTCAGATTTGTCAAAGATCAGATGGTTGTAGATGTGTGATGTTTCTTCCAAGGCCTCTGTTCTGTTCCATTGGTTTATATCTCTGTTTTGGTACCAGTACCATGCTGTTTTGATTACTGTAGCCTTATAATATAGTTTGAAGTCAGGTAGCATGATGCCTCCAGCCTTGTTCTTTTTGCTTAGGATTATCGTGGCTATGAGGGCTCTCTTTTGGTTCCATATGAAGTTTAAAGTGGTTTTTTTCCAGTTCTGTGAAGAAGGTCAATGGTAGCTTGATGGGAATAGCATTGAATCTATAAATTACTTTGGGCAGTATAGCCATTTTCACAATATTAATTCTTCCTAACCATGAGCATGGAATGTTTTTCCATCTGTTTGTGTCCTCTCTTATTTCCTTGATATTTGACTTTTAATGATAGAAAAATTGTGTAGCAAAAAAAAGACATAAACCAACTAAATAAAATAGCAAAATGTTTGCAATGCATATCATAGACAAGTTAATGAAAAAAAGACCAATAACAATATAAAAATAGGTAAAAGACATAGTATAGTAGGTCACAGAAAATTAAAATCAAATGATTCGTAAACATATAAAAAGATGTCTGAGCTCTCTCATAATTTAAAAATTCAATATGAAATACCATTTTTACATCAGGTTGAAAATAATCAAAAATATAATATTTTATTGGCAAGGATATATAGAAACAGTCATTCTCATGTATTGCTAGTTAGGGCGTAAAATCTCTGTGAAAAATAGATTAACAACATCTATCAAAACTGAAAATTTACATTCCCTGTGACCTAACCATTTCACTTCTAGGAATCTTTCCTAAAGATAAACTTTTACATATGTAAAATAGTGAATATCTTTGTTGCAACATTGTTTATAAAAGGAAAAAACAATAAAAACTGTCCACCAGTGGAGATCTTGTTAAACAAATTATGATCTATTTATTTAATGAAATACTGTGCAGCTGATGAAAAGAATGAAGTAGTTTGGTATGACATAGAATAATCTACAAGATAGGGTGAATAAAAACAGCAAAATGCAAAATATTATGCTATTGTTTTTGTAAAATTATATCTACATACACAAAACACCCACTCTCCTAATATCTGTATGTCTCTGGGAAGATACAGTGTCCTGGTAAGAGTGCCTGCTTTGGGAAGAGAGAAACTGGTTACTTTGGGGACAGAGATTAGAGAGATATCTCCTTTTCACTATGTTTCTGTATCATGTGCGTTATTTGAAAAAAATAATTCAAAAAATACAATTTTGGAGAGGGCAGGGCAAGGCAGCAGAATTGAAAGCTTCATTGATTATGCCCCCACCCACCACCAGCAAGGACACCAAGTTAACAACTATCAACACAGAAAAATCACCTTAATCAAAACTAAAAATCAGATAACCACTCATAGTACCTGGTTTTAACTTCATATCACTGAAAGAGGCACTGAGGAGATAGAAAAAATGGTCTTGAGTCATTGATGTCACCCCTCTCACACCACCTACAGCTGTGGTGTGGTGCAGAAAGCATCTCTGGGTGCTGGGGGAGGGAGAAAACAGCAATTTAGAGGTACTGAACTCAGTTCTGTCCTGTTAGAGCAGAAAGAAAAACCAGATCA